AGTTTAGTAGGAAAGTAAACTTCATTAATCATTGTTTAACTTAGTCAATTTTAAGTTTAGTAGGAAAGTAAACTTCATTAATCATTGTTTAACTTAGTCAATTTAAGTTTAGCAGGAAAGTAGACTTCATTAAGTATTGTTTTATTTTAATACTTTCAGATTGAATAAATTTTCCAAGTATTACTTAGCGTGGACACTTTCAGGTTTAGTATAAAATAAACTAAATAACGTATTGTTTAGCTAGACGCTTTCAGGTTTTGTACAAAGCAAATTTCTTTAAGTATTGTCTAAATTAATCACGACCAGGTTTAGTATGATTGTAAAATATGTTTTTAGCATTTGGATTCCTGTAAATATAAAGTAACCGAAAATTAATTTAATCTTGAGCTATTTGGATATAAAGTTAGTATTGTAGTTTTCAAATCTTTGCTGTTTCGTGATATTTGTAATTTTGATCAAATTTAAAAGTCAATGAAACTAGGAAAAGACGTTTTTCTTGAGAACTAATTGAGAGAGCACATATTTGTATGAACTTTATTGATGTACTAAAGACTTAAAATAGAAACTATGCTTCATGTCTATAATAAAGTGATGATATACATATTCAATTGTGACGTGAAGCAATAATTGTTTTAAGCAGCAAGGACGTACATCACATACTTGATGAAATATTCTTTTTTTTTTAATTAATTCATTTGATTTGTTTTTCATGCAACAAGTTAAGATATAGTTTTAATACGACTTGAGCTTTAGTGGTATAACGTGGAACAACAGTACTATCGAGAATTACGCTGTTAACAGTTCAATAATATTTTTGTTAAAAACAAATTTATCCTTGGTGACTAAAAATTGAACGTAGTAGGACTTGTATCACAGTTAGTGGAAATCCAAGAACTGGGAGAAACATCGTTTTAGGTTAATACTTCAAAAACTGATCTTCTTGAGCTCTGCCGCTGCGATCCATTTCAAATTGATCAACAACTGGTATCCTTATAGGTCGCTTATCAGTGTGTCCACGTACCCTGCACCTGAAAATTACCGCCAAAAGAACCAACACGAGAAGAAAAAGTGTAACCCCACCCCCAGCAGCGACATACAATAAAGGAAACCGTTGGCAATGTTCTGCCGCCTCATCATATCCAGACGGACAGTGTTTCGTCCCATCACACCAGAGGTCAGGACTGATGCAGGCATTTATCTCCGGGCACCTAAACAAGCAGTTGATTTTCTTTAAAGACTGTCCAGTGTTTCTTTTCAGTAAGGGTTTTGTCACCTCGTCCCACTCCACCCTCACTGTTTGGGGTATCTTAATTAGGGCCTCAATGATGATATGATTTGACAGTCTACGGTCCTCTTCGTTTGATAAATGAGATCTGACACTGTCTGCGTTATACCAAGATGGTGAGAACACTTTAAATTCGGGAGCACTGTCATTAACACAGATGGTCAAATCTGCCAGGATACTGTCCTCCGAGTACGCCTTCAGTAAATTCCTAGAGGAACATTTTTCTGATCCATTCGTTCCCCGAAAAGTTAGATAAAAATGTTTACCCACGGGTGTCGTTAAGGTCCACCTACACCGAAAATGGCCGTGTTTTTCCAACATCCATTTGTACACAGTAAACGTAAGCTTTCCTTTAGAATCTTGTTTCTCTTTTAAAGCTTTGCCACATAGAGGAAATGAAAAAAATTCATAGTTAGCCTCAAAATTAAAATGATGATAATCTTCATCAGAATTCATTCCCCTGACAGTGAAGATCACTGAAACATTATCACTGAGAGACACCAGTTCAAGTGGCTGATGAACTAATGTTATGTTACAAAAACAGCCAATCGGCAGCTCAGTTCCCTCCCAATTTTCAACAACTCGTACTAAGGACAACGGTCCGTTATAAGTTTGGGGGAATTCACAAGTTCTTTGAAGGGAATACCTATCTATTAGATTTTTACACGATGGTGATAAAAGCTGTAGGGTTCGAAAGGCAAGTTTAACTCTGTTTGAGTCCGTTCCTTGAAGATTGTACCGACAAGAAACTTCGCTGCGGCCACCTCTTCCAAAATACAGTACATTTCGCGGGGAAAATATCGTGCCGTGGCCTGAGTTATGACTACTTAAAATCCGATCGCAAAGTGTGGATGTAACAGCTACACCGGGTTGGCGTGTGTCTACGAATTCAAACCTGGCCGAAAAGAGAGGTTGGACACTTGGAATGACAGGTATCTTTGGATAATATATTTTCAGCACCAACTCTGGACCCTTGGAAAAGTAACTTTCTTCTGGTAGACGACAGGGACGAAGAGGAGTAAAACTGGGAGTATCTGCCGCACGAGCACACAGTCGTGGAGAGCTTTTCTCGCAGTAAGTATGATTATTCTCAATAGAGATATTATCAGTGACTCCAAGAAAATATGGAGCAACCGAGCCTAAGATCTCCATACGTCCAGTATCGCAGTGTTCTGTAAGTGACCAGGGATGCTTGTCCTCTACCATATATGACATAAAATACACCCACACACGGTCAGTGGGGATTCTCCCTCTCAGAGTGTAAGTGCACGTAGTTGGTGATGGTACAGTATGTTGGGGGTTTTTTATAATGCCTTTATTGTTCTTGGTCCCATCAATAAGAAATTTACAGTCATTACCCAAGATCCGCCAAAATGGCTTCTTAACAAATTTTACTCGAGCTTCAATTTCTAACCTAGAATCGTGCAGACGTTGATAGGGGGCGCTTACCAACTGTATCAAAACGTTAGATTGACTAGAAATAACTGGAGGAAGTGATCCCGAACCACAAAATTCTGTCAGCAAAGTCGCATCGTGTGTCGGGCCGTCAAATATGCGTACTTTATCTTGAGAGCAATCGGTGGTCAGTGAGCTACTGGAGACTGCCCCGAGACCTGAGTGTCCATTATCAATCGAAATTTTATATTCATTGTCCTGCCTCAACACTATCTGTGCGTCGAAGCCTTTTGGAATGTATTCCTGTTTGATTAAATAGTGACAAGTGAAATTTGGTAAAAATGTGCCAGGATAATTGGGAGATCGAATGATACAGAGTCGATTTATACAGTCCCGGTATTCTAGATTACAGAAGGAATTTGGTGCTGATCTTCCAAAATCAACCTTAATGTCGTCGTTTTGATTTCCCAAATGTGTTCTCTCTGTGATAAATCGATACGTAAGGAAGACGTTAAAAGATTGAGACCGCCACGATACCCGTCGTGGCATAAATATAACCACTGTAACGTTATTTCCGCTTGAAAAATAGTTGACGCTTTTTCCTGCCATTTGGCCACAGAAATATCCAAAATGTGGCGCGCTTCTTCCAGTGAGGTTAAACAAGTTGGGTAACATTCCGTTAGTCTGTTTCAGTGCTGAGACGAGCTGGCTGAGTCCACGTGTTTGTTGGTGGCTAATGTCTCTTTCTGGACTCTTATAATCCAGAACCTGAAGATGGCCTCCATAACATGTGTGACTGGAACTACTGAAAAAAAAGAAAATAATTAACAATATCGCCAACTACTTATTAAAAATAAAGCAAAATCATAAATATGAAATGTTTTCAACATCTGAACAAAAATGTGATGTGTGTTCAAACAATGAAGAAATCTCAAAACTCTGAACAACAACAAAAATTAAAAGATAATCATTACTTCATTCTAACATAACTAAGAAAATCGGCATTTCATAAAAAGAGGACACTAAACTTATTGACATACACTTTCTGTTACGACCGCGTTCTGTGTCATTTGAATATCGGAATGCAAAAAATATATATATGAAGCCCTGAGTCACACATACAAACACATTTGAAGAATATCCAATAAAATTAATTTTCCAAACATTTCATGCTCGACTTGAATCTCTTTACACTAGTTGCAACTTTCTTCAAACAACGTAATCAAGCTGTTTGCAAATACGTAAGACACGTAATAAACGCTAAGAAAATAATTCATGAAGTAATTTACGAGTGGGATTATTTGTTAACAGGGCATATCCTGTCAAAATTATTTTCACCGCTTTTCAAGGAACAGTTTATTTCATCAGTCTGCGATGTTCTTTGACTGTAATCCCAATAATATCTAATGAGATTTAATAGGCTTAGAAGATTTACGTTAGTCCTAAGTCCATGTACTGAGCTAACAATGAAAAATAATCTTTAACATAAAAATATGTAACAAAAACAAAAAATTAAATAACAAAAATATACATATTACAAATTTTAACTAATATTACTAAATAAAAAATGTAGTATAACTTGCTTACATAATATCTACACATTATTTGTGGATTACATGTAAGCCAACATCGTATCACTTTCTTGTAAACAGACTTCGATACCTAGTCAATGCTAAACAAAAAAGCCCCCATCCTACACATCGCTGTCAAGCCAAATAATTCGTCAAAATTTTACCCACTAATGAAAGTAGAAGTTTAAAAAGGTATATTTTTCCCCTGATTATCTGTATAGAAGCATACTCTCAAACAACAAATATATTAGACCTACTGAACCTAAACAATGCAAATGGAAGCTTACGAACTGATAGCATTGGCGATAAAAACCAATTTTGAAGTCTTCCAGCAATCTCGTATAATTATTAAAGATCATTCTCCAAATCGTTGATAACCTAGTTGACATTTTTCAGCCATCTGGTTTATAATTATTAGATATGATATTACACATAATTATAAACCAGTTGAAACTTTCCTGCAATCTGACTTATAATGTAAGATGATCCCACAAATGGTTGACAACCGAGTTGAAACTTTTCAGCCATCTTGTTTATAATTATTATAATTTGTTTGTTTGTTGTTAAATACAAATCTAAATAACGTGCTATCTGTGCTATACACAGGTATCGAAATACTTATCATTGAGCCATTACATCGGGGGAGGGCATAATTAGTAAAGATGATATTCTAAATACTTGCTGAGTTGAAATTTTCCAGCAATCTGGATTGCAATTATTTGAGCGTAGTAAAATATATTCAACAGTCAGTTGTAGTAAATTTTGACAAGACTTTCAAATACATTTGACAACTTTGGGGGGGTGGAAGAGGGTAACAGAAATAATGATTATCTTTTAAGAGGAAGGCTAAGTTAGCAATCATATTAGTCTAAAGATTTATTGTAAATATAATCAGAAAGAAGTGTGTGTGTGTGTTTTTTTTTGTTGTTTTTTTTATTAACCAAATCCCCGATATACCAAGGATATGTATATTTACATTACCTGGGTTTAATAGCCTTGATCATAGTATTTCTAATATACTGAAAGAGTAACCTAACATGGTTAAACAATGTGGTTGTTCTAAAGTTCTTCAAGCAGAAGAATGAAAGTTCCTTAGCTTTAACTGCTCAATATCGTAAGCAAATGGGTGTTATCAAAGATATTTTTAGCCGCGGCAAAGCGGCTCATAGAACAGCTCTGAGTTTGTTTGTTTTTCGTTGTTTTTTTCAAGTACAAACTTTTAGCTCATAGTTCCGTCATCTCTTGACCTATTT